TGCTTTGAAAACCTCCTAGGCAACTTTGCAGTTAATATAGTAGGAACCATTCAGGGGTTTAACCCTGTATGTGGTACACAGAAAGCTTTTGAGTAGTCCAGAGAAGATAACAGACTTGCTTAGTTACTTGTAGACTTAATTTGTTCTATGGAAAATGTTTAGGAGATGCACCTAGTAGATATAGTCTGAAAATCTGGAAAGGTAGTAAGTTATTTTAAGTAATTCTTCCACAGACAGGCATGGACTGGAGTACCCTATCTGTCAGTCTGTCTCTAGTCTTATTTTTACATAGATTTTTTTTAAATGTGTTCCCCAGTCTTCTGTGCAATGTACTCATTCATCACACAGCTGTTCACCTTGTCTGGTTGTTTTGTCGATTGATGGGGTTAGCACAAAGGACACAGGCAGCAAGTTAAAGAAGTAAGCTTATTTTTACTTATGTTTAAAGTGATAAAATAATGAGAAAAATAATACAGTGAAAATAAATTAAAGCAAGATAAGGTAAAGCAGCAAAATAATAAGTGAACTACCATAGCAAGCAGAAAGTAAGGTGATACACCTAATCATTACTCCATAGAGTTAGCGATAGTGATTAAGATCCATCACCAATTGCCCTGTTAATACATTACCATCATCCAGATCCGCAGTCGCTGGGGAGCCCGGTTGCAGCAAGGATTTGGAGAGCCCTTCCCGGCAATTGGGAAATCTCTATACACTGGACAGAGGAGGCTTCCAATTTTCCCTGCAAACGGTCCCTGCTTTTATACAGTTAAATGAACAACTTTCTGTCTTAAACTGCAAAAAACATCTGGTGTGGTTTTCTCCTTGTCAACTTCCATCTCAAACCTGGCCGGGGACAAGAGGGGAGATAACAAGATCAAAAGAATCTACTAATCTTGATTATGTATCTCTCAACAAAGCTTGTCATGACTTGCCACATTCCTTTGCCATCTGTGGCGATAGGGCACATCTGAGCTTAATTTTGGCTACTGTTAGGGAATTAGTGTCTTTGTGCAGGCTCACCTTACACAGCAAGTGTTACAGCAGTGCTCTATACGTGTTACAAAAAAAGCTTTTATAAATTGGCATATATAAATAAGGCAACACACATTGCATATGTGATCAATATTATACATATCAGATATATTGTGAGGTAGTACATGCATATGTGATCACTATTATATGTATTAGCTGTATTGTTAGGTTGTGAGGTTCATCTAGAGGTCAACTTCGGTTCAGGGCCTCACTGCTCAGGCCCTAGTGTTTCACTGCTCTTTGAAATGGTGGTCACAGCTTGCCCACTTCTCTTGCTGCTTATTTGTATTGTATTTTTACCATCTATTCCCATAAGAATTTTCTAAGTTCTTTTTCTTGGAGCTGCCTTGATTAAAGAAAATGAAGAATGACACAGGGAAACAGTTCTGTTGCTCTTTAACACAGGTTACATACTTACTTGAGATCTTCTAATTATTGTACTTACTGAGTCAATACATAACTGTGCTTCTAGTTGCATTTTAAAATAGGTGTTTTATGGTTAATCTTGTAAGCAAGTGTTTCCATGGCTTATCAAGAATAGTTAGTGAAAGGAATTGCTAACAACAGTGTTAACTGTTTTCATAACTCATTCTTGCAAAACTTTGAGGTGGAAAATGACAAGTCTCAGTAAAGTCTGTGTGTGTTTCCCTTCTTCCCTTAAATGTTTTTCATATAACTAGTTATAGTTCAGGTCAGCCTGAACTGTCTTTGTAGTTATTTGTTCTATAAGTGCAGGCATTGAGGTGGTTCAGATTTGTGCACTGAAGGGCTAGGAAGCAGTCTGCTCTCGCAGGAGGTAGGGTCCCTTCTGTGTAGCAGGGTGAGGACTCTGCCTTCCAAGCAAGGACGAGAGGTTTCCAGTTCTTTTGGTTTATCCCCTTCCTTTGTGTTGTGTGGAAGTGTCACTGGAGGAGTTGCTTTGCAAGGTAGGAACCCCCATGACACGGGTGAATGTGAATTTACCAGCTCCATTGTGATGTCCAGACTCCAAAACCTCATGAAAGGCTGTGGGGAGAAGCCTTAGAAATCTTGGCCCAGCCCAGGTTGGAGCAAGAGAATCTTTTTTTTTCCACAATATAAATTGATTTTTAGTTACACAATCTGACTGGTGTACAAAGAGGAAGAAACTTGCACTGATCATCTACACTGTGAAGGAGGGAAGGAGAGTGTGTGTGAGTGACCTTGTGCTGCTGAGCCACCACAGCAAGTTTCTGGGCAATAAATTTCTGTGGCAGGTTGTGGAGGTAAGCTAGTGGCGTGATGCGGGAGTAGCGCGAGCTGATACTACTAATCATTGCTTGAGAACCACAAAGAGAAAGGAGGCTGGGATGAAGGGGAAAGAAAGAATAGGGAATATGAGGGGAAGAAACATGTTAAGAATATTTTTGTCTGTGCTTGTTTGGAAGGTATTTGAGACTGAAAATATATAACTGAAGAGCTGTATGCATGCGGCACACCTCTGGTGAGATTTGTGATGTATTTTTAGTTTTGTCCAAATCCCTTAGGAAAAGACAAAATTTAAAAAAACACGCTTGAAGTGGGATGGCTTTGAAGTTGTTTTTTTCTCAGGTAAAGTTGGCTTTCTATTCAAGAGGTCCTCACAGTCATCATCTCTACTTCTTTGTTTTAGGCAATATCTTTAATGGCAGTAGAGGTTAAAAAAAGAGGAAGTCCCATCTGACAGTCATTTCTTCTCTTAGCTGGATTCCTAGTTAAGCAAAAGACAAACTAATCCTGCCACTAACATCCTTTCTTTTCTGTGATTGTGTTCTGCCCCAGGATGTGACTGTAGATTCTGTAAAGGTTTGCAAATTACAGTGTGGGTGGTTTTTTTCCTGATTACTACTCAGTTTTGGAGTGGAGGGCTTTTATTTCCAATGCAAATCTAATGGAAAACTACACACTTGGAAGGATACAAAATTGTGACTGTGTGTCACAGGCAGATCTTAGCAGGGGAAGTCTGGAAGCACAGCCATGTATACACTTCTGTCTTCACAGCTCTCTCGCTGAGACATGAACATCTTTGGCTTTCATTGGGAAATCAGTTTCCATCCGGTGAAATCATTGTTCAGTTAACACAGGGCAGTTTAGGTCTCCCTCGGCATCTCTGACTATTGTTTTGATGCATAATAGCATGTATTGAATAATATGTACTCCTGCCACAGTAGGGGTTCCCTGCCCTGATGAGAAATAAGTGGGGGACTCACAAGTCAGTCATTTATCCTCTCCATAAGCATGATTTTATCATACTAAGGTAATGTTATTTGAATAGAGATTGTCTATTAGCCTGGCTGTAACGCTGTTAGATAAAATTCATTCATGTCACTAATGCCTGTTCTCCAGTGTAGAGCACAATGTAACCTAAAAGCTTCAGGCAATTAATTTCACTAATGATGACTGAAAATGTAGATGACTTGTTCCTAGCTGTTCTCTGTTTTCGGTCACTTGTTGAGGCCAGTAGGGGACCTAAATTGAAAGGATTTCAGAAGTGTTTCAAAGACTGTCCTGGTTTTAATCTTCCCTGAGGTGCATGAGGATTTGTGGTACTTTTGGGCTTGCCTGAAACCACAAGAGCATCTCGGATGTCTCATCCTTCCAGCAGAGGCATTCATATGGCACAGATACACTCTGAGAGGGCATACATTTCACTTAGCAAAGAGTAACCCCTCGCATTAGACCTTTGCTCTGGCACAGAAGTTTAGTGTAGCTTTGACAGGAAGCAAACGTGTCCCTTAACTTCTTGTCTCTTCCATCCTGACAGACAGCTCTCATTAGTCCCGTGGTCCCTCCAGCTCAGGACATGGGTTGCTTGAGGAGAGCCACTGCTTTTAGATGTTCTTTTACCATCTCCATGGAGATAGAGCTCTCCAAGCTTCTTGGCTTTACTGACTCACCTCAACTTCCTATGCCCCAGACAAGAGAGACTTTGCTAAATAAAGGTTTGATTCACAAGTTTTATGGTCAGGCATATAGTTACAAGTGAATACAAATACTTCTTGCCTCTGCTTGATAATGGGATAAGCAAGTAGGAAGGAGAAAGCTATATGATAGTCACTGGGAGACTGCTGAGAAACCACTCTCTAGCTTATAGGTACAGCTGTGTTTTAAACAGCCTTCCTTGTCTTACCAATCCTATTGTTTCTTACAGTTTGTTTTGGGAACAAATCTGGGTGCCAATCCAGAGTGTTTTTGGGGTATTTAATGGTTTGTTTCCCCACCCTGCCCCTCTACTGACCCCCATTTGCTTCATCAGTCCATCAAGGGATATGCAGATAGTTACACTGTTATTCTTGGCTCTGCCCATTTTGCCAGCCACCCACCTTGACTTGATGGATGTTCTTCATCCAGTCGGAGCTATTTTGTGAGCTCTGGATGATTGATACACCCCTGTCAAATGTAGAACACATCAGTTGTAGCAGGGCGTATGGCTGTTACTTCTGACAAGTTAACGGGATGATGCTTAAGGTGTACATGTAACAGACCTACTTCCAGGTGTCTTGTCCAGACTGCATTCTGGTCTATAAGTGTGCAGTTTTTAGAGGAGCATGAGGACCAGTACGTGGCAGGAATAGGGATGTTTGTTTCTCCTACAAGCTTGTTCTGTTCTTCATGTAATTTCGTTGTACTGTTATAAACCATAAATGCAAATTTTACGTGTATGTTGATAAAATAGTTTGTAGCACCAAATTTGCAGTTTTCAAATAAATGAAACTCCTTTTTCTTAATATCACTGCAGAAAATTTCTGCTCTTTCTTTCCATGCAGTCTCCTTATTTCCCCTTTCTCCCTTGTGTACCACCATCTTGTACCAAGATGTGTGACTGTGTGGTTTATGTTCAGCATTTGGACTTCATTGCAGCCTTGTCTTTGCCATGCACTGTTGAGGTGACTGGTGCTTTTCAACATGTTACTAATTTGTGGCTTTGCATATACTACACACATTCATATATTTCTTCTTTATTCCAGAGATGGTGATGTTGCTGGAATGGTGGTCAGGCACCGACTGCACTCTCTACACTGACCCAGAGAGTTACCGCAAGTATGGGAAGGAGAATGCCATCGTAATCCTTAATCACAACTTTGAAATTGACTTCCTCTGTGGCTGGAACTTTTGTGAAAGATTCGGGGTCTTGGGGGTGAGTTTTGCTTAGCAGTTAAACTTCCTCTTCTTTGATGCTGGAAAAAAATCAAAACAAATTCTTTGTGTTTTTGCAGTGCAAGTAGGTAGAATACTGAGACAGGATTGCTTGGGCATTCACAGAAGTTTTAAAAGCATTGCAGTTAAGCTGGTGAAGGAGATAATTTTTTAACCTTTGGAGGTCATTACAGTTGTTTCTCTCTGTGTGCTTGCTAGGTAACTATTACAGTTCACTGAGCTGCAGAAAGATGAGCTGTTCTGTGATTCTTTCCCAGTAAATTGTAGAATTTGTTCGCTTGCTCCAGTGCAAGCAAATCCACAGCTAAAGTTTGAATGATGTAGTCTCTTGTCTCTTAGAGTGAAAGAGCTGCCATCTCAAGTGAAAGCAGTAATCAGGTTATAGCTAGTAAGAGATGGGGGAGGAATGAGTTATCCCTAGTTGAATACACTATTTATTACATGAGGCTAGGAGTACATGCACATTTGTTTTCAGGGGTTTTTTGTTTCCCCTGTCAGCTGACGGGGATTATTCAAGCCCACTTCCTAAGCCAGTTTAATTTAATTCTGTGGTGGTGACAACATTCTCTACCTGCAAGGGATTTAGATAAGAGTTCCTTCCTCCTAAAAGCAGACTAATACCTGATTTTAGCGGTCTTCTGCAAGCATCCTCTTCTAACTTTGTTACTGGCCACTGTCAAAACTCCTGACCTTGGACTGTGTGAACCTATGACTTTTTGTGGCCTTTCCTTTGGATTCTTTGCATTTTCTGTACATTTAGGCGGCACTCCAGCCACTTTCAATTTATAGTAATGACAGTCTGCTTAAAAAAATAAAAAAGGGGTCTTAAAACTGGGGGGAAATGAACCTAAGCATTACAGGCCCTACATATTACCAAAATAACTGTTGTCTCCTCATTGCTGGTGGACAATTCTACTGCCATGTCTACGGCTTGAGCACAGAGCTGGAGGATAGCATGAGACAGCAGGAGATGTAGGAAGACCTGTTCCTGGCAGGCAGACGTACATGCCAAAGACGTTTGCCCTTTTACGTGCTCATTCTACAGTGGTGCTTTACTATAGTCTATCTAATTTTGTAAGCTTACTGGCTACAGTTCTCTAAATAAAGCTGCGTTTTAGAGGGTCAGGTGCTTCCTCAGAAAGCACCGTTGTAGAAAATTAAAGGATTATTTCTGTACAAACTAATAGGGGACCTACAAGGTCAAAAATCTCTTGCTTTACATTGGTGCTGTGTGGTTGGATTCAGTCTCATTAGCTTTAATATATTTTTAATAATTTCCCAAGGTAATCAGGATTTATGTTTTAATTTTTTTTTTTCCCTACACATAAGAAAACCACTACGTAGAAGCATAACTTTTGAACAATTACTGTGCTGCATTAACTGAAAATAATTTTTCCTTTTTTTTAGATGCTTACAGTTATTACTGGGTTTGTATTTTTGCTAATCTTAGAATTACTTTAGGAACTGATATATTTTTGGGTTTTTTAAATTATTTTTTTAAAACTATTTAAGTCTTGAGTAATGTACTGTGGTTTTACTTCCCAGAAACTGTTCCAGGAAGAAATAGTTCCCACATGCTCTCGTTTGCGTAGATGTCTTTACACAGCAAAGAAGTGCATTTCCCTGTTGGGGCAACCAGTCAAGGTTCATCTCAAGCCAGGTTAAAAAACAAATGGAAAATTGCACGCAATCGGTTTCCTGATTGTCTGTATTGGCATACTGGTACTTGGCTTGGGGCAGCAAGGGGAGTGGATGAATGTGTAGGGATGCGGGGTGTAGCTTCTTTTGACACTGTGCTGCCTTACACAAGTTTTCAGTGCATGAAGCTTCAGGGTTTGGTGTGGCAGCACAACTGGGAACGTAAGACCCATTATGCTGAGGGCTGTTGTTTGGGAAAAGGAGTTATAAGACAAAGGCAAGCTTCCAGAAAGTTTTCCAAGTGGTGTCCCAACCTCCAGCATTTTGTGGCTCAGGGACTTTGTGAGCCAGTGGGGTTTTATATTTAATGCTGTTTAATTTTATACTCCATGAAGTTTCTATGCAAACTTTAGGTATCTACCAACATCTTACTAAGCTGCTCTCATGTCCACTGCTACTGAAAGTGAAATCTTACACATGCCATCCTGTCGTCTGCATCTGTGCTGGTGCTTGTCTGCCCTGTTTGGGCGTGTTTCAGACACCCTTTCTCTCTCCCTTGCCTTAACTGATCCAACAAAGAAAGTAGAGAGATGACTGGGGAGGGAGAAGAGGGAGAAGGTGAAGACAGCTTAGGGCCGAAGGAGTTGGGACTGGTTGTGCTTGGCTGCAGCAGGCAGACCAAATGGTTTTATTGCGACATCCAGCTGTACCCTGCAGCCCTGCTAGAAGACGGCAGTGCTCTTAATAGTGTCACAAGCATGTGTCCAAGCTCTCAGTATTTTACAGCTTGAACTTTAATTAAATGAAGCCATTAAATGCTCTATTTATTTGCTTGTTTTTTCTCATTTAAAGACAAAATTACATAATTCCTTAAACCTGTCTGGCCCCAAAAGAAAAAAAAAATCTTTCCTTTTTCTCTTCGTGTTAATCACGATATGAAAAGTGCCCCTCCTGGTCTTAATTGCAACATTCAAGCTTTCTCCTTGTAGCCAAATTGCCCCAGTCCCAACAGGTTTATAATGCTCTATCAATGTGGTTTTGTTTTTATCAGTGTGGTTTTGCTTTGATCAGTGTGGTTTAGTCTTTTTGCTGTTCGTTGGGGATGGAGTAAGAGTGGTGTGGTCTCTTGCATGTTGTTAGGTTTGTGAACCTGAGGCCTCTTCTAATGACTCAGGTCTTGTACTTGGATGGTGTGAGGTTCTCTGCTTTCATTAAGGTTTTTAAATGGCTATGGAAGAAAACCTAGAAAAAAGAGCCAAAGAAGGCACTAAGAATTTGAGAAGTATGTGTGTGTGGAGGAGGGGGGAAAAAAACCCAATGACTATTCTAACATTTATTTTACTTTTTAATTTTTTTTCTTTAATATGATACTTTTGGAGCACCCATCGAAAATGCTAGGGGGCACTGGGTTGACAGTGCTAAGTGAGAGCCAGAGATCTACTCATTTATAGTGAAAAGGAGAAAACCACACAAAGAAGCAATTCTATGTTAGCTTTTACTCTTGCAAGTTATTGTAGCCACTGAGACTGTCTTGCTAGCTGCACTTGGACTCTATGCAGCTGTTGTTACTGGTGTGTAATTGTTCACAGCATCAAACCTTAGAAGATTTTTTTGGTTGTTGAAAATTAGAAGGAAGCGAACTTCACAAAAACTAGAAGTCAGCAGGGATTTTAGGTAAACGTGTGTTCAGCCCAAACTATTAATCACTTACATCTGTATTCCACTTGTGGTTTTTTTTGTGAAGGGATCTTCTGTTTTGTCTTCAGCCCTTGGCACTCATCAGCCGCATGTATCCTCCTTGTGCTGCCAGACCTCAGCGATGTCTGTAGGAGGGAGGGAATATAGGGGTGCTTGATGCTAAGTCATCATCATGCTGCCATGGGTGGCATGGACGTCCACGAAAAAGCCTGAGTCCTGACTCCTCCTGACACAGAGGTGGCTGCAACAAGCTGTGAGGGAAGGAGGAGCTGTGCTGCCACCTTGGCTTTCTGTGGAGTTGGAAACAGCACAGCCCCAACAGGTCGGAGCTTTGTCTACACCAGTGTTTCCTAATAAAAGGCAGGGCTGTTGTGATTCTGAGCCAGGGTGACTGGGATGATTGCATGGTGGATGCTCTGCTTTTCTGCCCCATGCCAGTGCCATGTCTGGAGGAGATGCTGAGTCTGGTGCCTGGGTGTTGCTCTGCTCTGTAAATAGAGATGTGGTCTTGGTGACAGGTCCCTGCGCCCTGCTGCATCCTCCCCTTTTCCTGCCTGTGACATTCCAGTCTTAGGACTTACCTTCTTCTCAGTGGTGGACAGCCTAGCTACTGTATCAGCATTTAAACATGTTAGTAGCATTTAGTTTCTTCAAGGTGTGTGCTAAGCATGCCTTTGAAAACAGACCTACTAGACACCACAACTTGAAATCAGGACGGAGGCATGTTCTGAGGAGGGAGGTGTTATTCTGGACTTGTACTGAAAGCACAGTACTACAGTCTCTGCCAGGATTCACTGCACCCTTCTGCTTCATTGCTTGATCTGACCAAGCAGTGATAAAATAGCTTTTTTAGTAATTTTAGTAACCTTTTTTTCAGAGATAAAGACATTTATATTAGCAAAAATTGCCTGCACTTTGAAGCTAAAGGTGCTGGTTTATCTTGAACAGATGAACTCTTCTGGTGTCTTGAGTTTCAAGTTATGAATGCTGGTGGTCTTTCTACCTTAACAAAACAAACATTATTCCAAGTGACTCATTACATTAGCATTGAAATATGTGCATTTCCAAAAGAGGCCATAGTTAGTTATTCTTTGTCAGGGTAGACAAGGCAGAAAACCATTATGAAAAACTAGTTGTTACTTATATTGCTTTAAGTTTCTCACAAAAAAATGCTAAGCAAATATAATAACTTTACCCCTAAGTATCTGTTCTATATGTCAGGAAACCCAAATTTTATTTAGAAGTTGTTTATGTTGAAGCTTGCTGTTGGAAAAACTGACATGACCTTAAATATAGGTGTGAGAAGAGACCTTTGACAGGTTATGGTATGGGACTGATAGATGTATAAACACAGTAGTTCATTTGTGCATTTTAATGTAGTAATAGAAGTTATATAGTTGTTCATGTCGGCAGCCAAAACGATGTTGTTATTTCTATTTAACACATCATCTTAGCATATGCTTGGGCACACATCCTCTAAAATGGTGCTGTGTTACCTTTCCAACATGGAAAAGTTTTATTCTGTATGAAGCATTAGAAATTAGGAGCCTAACTAAAAATTAGGTGCCTTGCTACATTTCTGGAACCATGGTTTTGAGGGACTAAAGAAACATTATCTTTCCATCTTGATGCCCCAGAGAGTATAATATGAAGGAGTGTGCTATATTTCAAAAACAGAGCACACAGAATCATCAAAAGTATGTCAATGCTGAGGGCAGCCTGGAGAGCAAATAATTTATGAGGCAAATTGCTGCTGCTAATGGTTTGCAGCTACAATTAATTTGTTTTGAAACTGTGGAACAAATTTTGTTAAATATCCTCAGCTTGCAAGCTGATTTTGTGCCATTTGTTGCATTCTGTGATCGCAAGGTGTTGAATAACTGAGGCTGGACATAAAAATCAAGATTTTCTTTCTTTGACAGCATAGCTGTGCAAGTGCATGTAAAATAAGCTTGTAAAAGTATTTTTTTTAGTGCAATGTTAGTACAGTCGTTCACAAAAAGAACTTCACATGTATTTCCATCTCAACAAACATGTCCAAAAGAAATTAACCTGGATTAAAATGCTGTTACTATAGACAAGTTGTCTATACCCCATCCGTCTGTTGGAATTACACAGTTCTGACTACTGAAAATGTTTTGCTTTCTTCAAGAAAGCACATTACATGGAATAAATCAGCAGTTTTTAATGCAATTTATTCTGTTGAACAAGCTGAATTTGAAGGTTAGAGGTCCTTTGGTAAAGGAAAAGTTAGTCAAGGCCGAAGTCAACTAGAGCTGTATTTCTCTTCTCAGGTATTTACACAGAAGCTGTGCATGGGTAGACGACTGAAACGGAATAGATTGTAGCTCTACTTATTGTAAGAGAGATGGTGGCTTCTGAGGAGAGGCCTAATGTATTCCTCCCACACGAGAGCAGTCTTGTCAGTATAACGCACTGAAGAGCTTCTTTTCTCTAATTATTTCCGTGTCGTTAGCCTTCCTTCTACTCCTAGGATAGTTAGGGTGCGCAAAATAGCATAAAGTGATTTAGTTTCTTTTTCTGTGCATCTAAGGAGTTGTACACTCACGTGTCTAAAAGAGCGCTTTTCAATTTTAAAAATGCGTCAGCACACAAAATGAATAAGAACGTGCCCTGGGGAAGAATTCAGACATCTGTTCTGCTTTTGTGGCTATGCCTGTGCTGTGTGACACCTTAGCTCACAACATCATTTCTTTGTTTCACTGGGGGGGAAAAAAAAAGGTGCCAACTTCTCTCCTGCCCCTTGTTTAACACTTGTTAAAATATGCAAAACATTAGAAAATAGCGTGCTTTTTGGACCGGGATTGCTGTGTTTTAAAGTCTGGGAGGGAGGACTATCAGATTGTCTTTTCTGCCTGTGCTCTGAAGGGCTTGTACATCCTATGTAAGCACGCTCACATTTGTGTGTGGTACGTGTTATGATGCAGAACACTCACTGTACATAAACTCCCAGAGCACGGATTTTTTTTTCCCCATTTTTGGGGGTGACACTGTTGCTGTTCACCTCATTGCGCAGTGGCTTGTGCTGGGCTGTGGCTGAGGGCTGCCCTGGTTGTGGCTGAGGCAGGCAGTAGTTCCCTGAGGTTCTAGCCCTCCCTGCTCAGCTAGGAACGCTTTGCATCTGTTGGGGATTCCTGGGGCAAAGCTGCGGCTCAGCTGTCTTCCTCAGGCATGTATGGGGGAGAGGAATGGAAAAGCATATGAACTGGGCTGTGTGCTTTTAGTGGAAGCTGTACTGTACATGGCCTACAACAAAAAATGGTCTTTGGAGGCTTGTAAAAATCTATGCTAGAACTGTTTACATTTATGGAGGAAGTAAGAAAATTACTTGTATTAAGAGTACCTGAGAAAAGGAAGAACAGTAGTGTGGGGGAAAACACAGAGAGCTAAGGGAAGTGGTGGGACGAGAGCCTGTTTCTCTGTGGCTGGTTTGGGGAGCTGGAAGAAGAGACTGGGCTCTGTGTTGCTGCTGCCGTACAATAGGGACTAACATCCAACATAGCTTGAAATTGAAATGGCAAAAAGTATGCTGAATCTTGTGTCTGCCAAATCCTACAACATAGCTTGAAATTGAAATGGCAAAAAGTGTGCTGAATCTGTGGCTGCTGAATCCTGTGTCTGCTGAATCCTATGGCTTCTCCTTGGGGGAGGGCTGGGCCCATCGCTGAAGTTCCTGAAATAGTCAAAAGGGAATGCTTTAGAACAGAGTGTTAAATTGTTTGACGGAGATGGTTCCTGCATTCTCAGAAATTGAATTGTCTCATGTTGTCTTCTGCTCCGCTTCTGTGTAACAGTTGCTAGTGGAGCTATGTAATGTGCATTTGCCTTCCAGTCTTATAAGCTTTTCGATAGCTTAGTTATTTCAGGTATTTTCCTCCTCGAGGAATGAGTGCAGATGAGAAAAATGAGCTGAGATAAAGAATTAGGTCAAGTTTCTTCCTCTAGTAACCAAATGAACAACAATGACCAAAAAATAAAAGCAAATAATTTATGTTTACGGCAATTTCTACCAGTAAATAATTCCTACTAGTCAAACGCAATGTGCGGGAACCCATCAGCAGAACACTTTTATGGGATGGCTTATAATGATATCACAGACACAAACTGGACTGTAATTATTCTATCTGTCCTCTAAGAAAATGTCGCTTTTTCAGGAAGTGCTGAAGCAACAATTTTTATGCAAACATGTGTGCCATTTTATTGAGTAAATAACAAAGTGAAAGGTAAGACAGCTCACCAAGGCGAGCTGGCTTGGAAGACAGGAAAGGAGCAAGTGGAAACAGTTCTCATGCCGAAAGGCATGAGCAGGATTTGAGACTTACTGAATGCTGGATAAGCCATAGATTTCTTGTGGAGAGTCTGCACAAATCACTTCAGTATCTGTCACGCCTGTGAGACGCGACAGTACTATTTGAACTCCAGAAGCATCCTCTGCAGAGAAACTCAGTAGTGTAAGTATTTCTGCCCTTCCATAAACAAAACTAAACCAAAATGAAGTGCTTCTGTTGCTGTTGTTTTTAGCATTGTTTAAGGCTTCCTCCATTTGTAAACCGTGTGTATGCATCAACATGCTGTTGTGCAGCAATGGCTCTGTGGATCTGTTTCTCATTAAGAATAGTTTTCTTGTCACAGAGAGGTGTCCTAGCTTTGGGGAGAAGCATAACTGCAAGATGTCTTAAAGGAACTTGAGTTGCCACTGCCCAGGATCTACTTGAATTAAGAATTTCGTTAGATGTGGTTCATGCCTTTTGCATGGATTCCTCAGTGTTTTGGGGTTCAGGGTTCAGGTAGGATAGACACACACACACACGCATATATTTATTTAATTCTGGAAGACTTCTTTCATGCAGATATCTGAACTCAGATTTGACTGTTCAGTCCTTGTGAGGAAAACTTCTTTTTCTTTGTTGTGCTTTTGCACTGGTGTTAAAACTGCGGCTGGTGAATATGAATCAATATATTAGTGTCTAACTGTGCAAGTGTCATACCCACAGAGAACTCTTAAGTGATGTAACTCTGTTTTCACTTACTCTGTCTTACAGAGTTCCAAAGTGCTTGCAAAGAAGGAGCTCTCCTACATGCCTATCATTGGCTGGATGTGGTATTTCCTGGAGATAGTCTTCTGCAAGCGTAAGTGGGAGGAAGATCGGAAAACAGTCATGCAGAAGTTGCTGAATCTCCGGGACTACCCTGAACACTTTTGGGTGAGTGATGGCTAACAAGTGGAGTGCGAGGTGCTGTAGTGCTTGGGAGGGACGAATGGCATGGACAATATGTGATAGTTGCCAGGTTGCTCACGAGAACTCTGATTCAGGAGCTTCCTGGCAGTATCAGGAGAGTGTTCTCTAAGAATTGAATTCTCTCTTGAATTTCCCATATAAAAGTCTGTCTTTTCCGTTTTCTTCCTCTGGGCCCCTAAAGATGAGATTGCAAAAATACCTTCGCTGTGATCCATTCAGTAAACTTTGTGCTCCTCTAAATACAGGAGTTGGAGAGGAGTAGATGCAGGGGTTCATGGCGGTGTAGCACATGCATGTGATAATGTTGTATTGAAACACATTAGCTGTGTTCTTTACCTGAGCTCCCCTCTCATATTAGATCGCAGAGTTCATAATAGTGTTTTCTCCCATTTCCCTGTGATTCTGCCATTCCTGTGAAGGTGCTAAGTCAGACATGGCCGAGTGGAAGTGGAAGCCACAGATAAGTACCTGGTCAGAGAAGTGGCCCCTGGGGCCATCAGCTGTGTTTCAGAGAGAGGATTGGTGTCACCTTCAGTAGCAGGAAGATGTTACTTTTTTGCATCACGATAATTTTTTTAGTATTGAGCCTGCCTGGCATTTCCTAATCTGGGAGTGAAAAGTCTTTGAATTTTTTCTCTTCTCAGTAGTCAGAAAAATACTAGTTCTCATGAGCTGGTGATGATGAGAGAGGGGTTCAGTTAAGGAAATGGTACCTAAAGCAGCCTCACAAGGGCCTACAGAAACTATTGCTTAAGAAGCAGTTTCCTAGTGAAGATATATATGCTATATCTCTCATTTCCTGAAACTAAACTTTTTTTTTTTAAAATTGTCATTGATTTAAATGAGCTCTAAGCAATCGAAACCAAGCTCTGTGCTTGGATGATGACTAAATGACTTCTAGGCAGGAGGCTGTCTAGCAAAGGGACAGTTCTTGGTTTCTAGTTCTAACCTCTCTCACTGGGATTTGCCTGTGCTCTGTGACTCTTAAAAGGTGATGAATGCCTTTCTGTACACCTAGGCAGTTCAGCCCGAATTGGTGAGCACAAACCACCACCATCCTTTATATACTTCTGTAGAGGGGTTACTAAGAAGGAGCTGTACCTGTAGTAAGAGAGATACAGTTGTCGGTGTACACCTGGGGTTGTTGCAGTGTGGAGTTTTAATATGTCCTTGTGTGGTGACATAATGTCAAAAGGCACAGCAATAGCACCTGGGAAAGTAGAAAGAGCATGCTAAGTGCACTAGAAGGTTTTTCTCATCAGTTTCTGTATGTTTCGTCTAGCTGTTTAACATTATGCATGTGGTACCTGAGTGAAAGTGCTCTTAGATGAGCTGGAACTGAAGCTGACTGCTTGGCTAGTTTTCTTCAGTCGCGCTGTCTTTGATGGCTAAATCTTTGCTGTGGGTTATGGGGACTTAGCTTGTCTGATTGGGCAGTGCTCTCTGATCTGTTAGTTTGCATTCAGGCCTGGCAGAAGGCAGATGAGCAAGTGGTAAATCTCCAAAGATCTGTCTGCTCTCCCCTGTCTGCCAGTGGCAAAATTGTAATTGTTCGTGTCTGAGCACTTCCACTGTATAGTTCAAAAGGAGATGAAGCCTTCATCTTGGATTTACTGCCTTACATCTGCTCAGTCATTGGCATCAAAGTTACTGTCTGCAGTTGTTGGTGGTCCTCGTGCCACAGTGAAAGCAGGGTCGTTGGGGTGAGGGGAAGCAAGCTGGGCACTGATGCATTTCTCAGAAATGTGTTTGGTTTAGACACTTCCCAAGTTTTAGATACCAAGACAGTCAAGCACCTCACCGTCAGTAAGAGATATGCAGCAGGAGGTATGATTTGAGCGTCTTCTAACATCTCATTAGAGATGGAGTGATTCATTTAGAGAAATCAAGTCATTCAGACAGCAAGCAGCAGAGCAGATGTTAAAGCCCAAAGGCTAGAGTTCAAACCAGAGGATGGCAAGTTGGATGGGTGGGGGCAATTGAGAGAGTTTGGTTTTGGTTTGGTTTTTTGGGGTTTTTTTAATTCAGGGCAATTAAAATACCTAAATGTGTATGTGGCTACACCTGTCCCTGCTAGCAGTGCTCATTTGGGCTGTGTGGGTGGGAATTAGAGGTGCCTCTCGTCGGACAGATGTAGAAGACCTGAGCTGCTCTCTAACTGTAGTTCTCTCTTGGTTTTAGTTCCTGATTCATTGCGAGGGCACAAGGTTCACCGAACAGAAGCACCAGATTAGCATGCAGGTAGCTGAAGCCAAAGGCCTGCCCAAGCTCAAGTATCACCTGCTGCCACGAACGAAGGGATTTGCTGTTACTGTGCAGTGTTTGAGAAATGTAGGTAAGGAAAGTCACAAGGAACAATGCTAAATGGTTATTTCATGTAACTGCTGTCACTTTGCCTTGCTCTTCTTTTCCCTGTAGCACGTGTCCTAGCAGAAAAGCCCTGGGATCCTTTCTGACCTTTCTTCTACTAGCCTGCGAAAATTAAAGATCAGGTTTTACTAACAGAGTCATGGGGCAACTTGGTTACTTTTTGGTTTTTTTTCTGTTACTGTGACTCTGTATGGAGGGATCTCAAGTTGCATGTTTCGTACCTATTGCCCAAGGGTAATATTTCTTAGTATTTATGAAGCAATTCTGTTCCAAATGAAGCTAATACATCACTTAGAGAATCTGAGGCAGTGTGTCCTAAATATTTTATTGCACTAAATATGTGCCTCAAATAACACAATTTTTTTTAAATAAAAAAAAATTCTGCTTTAAATTTCTGTGTAGACGTACTCTTTAGAGTTTCTTAGTAACTTTGCGGAGCTGAGGAATGGGAACATACCTCAACTGAAGATACATGTAGGATAAATTTATAAATTATTTCTACATTACAGAACATGATTAAGTTTCTCTTTGTTAATGCGGTTCTGAACTCCCCACTTGCCCTGGTTATTTCTGGTTACTTGAATTTGCCAACTTTAAAAAGTGCCATCAGTAAGAATATGGCACACATTCCTTTGAAGTAATTTTCTTCTGCTGATACAATCTGTCAAAGTCTCCTGCTGTGTACTTCATGGGCAAAGGAAGGACAGCGCTAAGTAGCCACAGTGCTACAGCATCTTTGGGGTTTGGTAGATTTGTGTGCTGTTAGAAGGCTGATACATAAGAAAGACAAACTGGTTAGTGGTTTAGAAGAAAATGTTCTAGCTTGACTGAAAAAGCTGTCACAGCTTCTTTTGTCTTTGAAGACATGTTCTCATGTGGCATATCTGGGATAGCTGCTGTAAAAAAAGCTTTGCAGTCAGCTGTCTTGCTATCTGTCATGTTTCTTTTACGTAGCCTCTTGCAAGTCAGGTAGATGATATCACTGTTGTAGCCTGTCAGGCATCCACGACTTCTCACTCCCAAAATGGATAGCCTGGCTTGGATCTTTTCTGTTATGTGAAGAAGTAGTAAGTTATGTGCAGCATCCAGCAACTCCCTTAAGGGCACAGTTTAACCTTCTCTTTTCAATAAGGGCAGCGGTTTTGCTGAGGGCAGGGGGAGGTAGGCTTGAGATACTGAAGAAGAGCTGAGTCAAAACTCTGTGACCTCCAGTGCACTGAGCTGTGTCAGGGATAGGTTAAATTGGTGGTGATTTTGTTCTTTTTCACTAGCTCTGTGTAAAGCAAGCAAAACATTGTATGATTGTGGACAAGTGGCTTGATTTGTGGGAAAATGTTTCAAAAGGAAACAATTTTAGGGATCCCACGTGGCATTTATAAAACGTTTTGGACATCCATGTGATACACTACAGTAACAGTTCTTAAGATCCTAAATATTTGAAATAACTTCAGGAAAATAAGATTGAGATTGCTAGATTACTTATATACTTGGGGAAGTGTATGTTACAACCTCAGTCTAGAAGCTGTGACTTGCTAGATCACAGAGGGCAAGGCTAAAAAGTTTGTATTGCCCTGTGAGGGTTCAAGGAGAAGCACGGAGAGTCATAATTTCTCATAGATAGTTTTTGTTGAAACTGTATAGCTTAAAAACCCAACCAACAAACCTCTGAGGGAAATAGCTGATGACCCCAGATCGGTGTTGCAAATTCTTCTGGGTATGTTGCTTTACTTGCTTTTTTGCAGTGAGAGGGAAATAATAAGAGTCACTGCCTGGGTTACTATATGTTTCTCTCCTATAGAGACAAGGGGTACATTTTAAGACCCTGTGTAAACAATGTCTTATTTTTAGAGCTCCTTGTAACCTTAATAAGTACAGGTGGCAAGGAAGTTCATAAATGTTTTTTGAATGGAGAATGTGATGGAAGTGTGTTTTCACAGTCCATAATCTAGAAATGTACGTTTTGTCTAGAAATAATTCCTTTCTTGCATGAATACTGGTAGGATTTGACCACTTACCTCTGTTAACCTGCACTGACATTTGATATCCATGTTATAAGCAGTAACATGTTGTTGTAGTTGTCAGTATATACAGAGGCTATACGCTGTAGGAATTTGGGCATTTTTTTTACTTTTGAGTATTTACATTGGTAAATAGTACTATTTGACTTGCTCACTGTAGACCCCGAGTCTCGTTGTTATGCCCTGCCTTATAATGCAGCCCAGCAAGTGACTATATCCCTCTATTACAGCCTCAAATTGCTTGTTCCAAACAGCATCAGTGTGACTGCCGAATTGCTGCTCTGTCTGCAGAAGAAGCAATGGCAACATGCAGATGTTCATGCCTTCAGTTCAGTGACATCTCTAACGATCTACAGGAATGACTCTTGCAGCCTGACCTGTCTCTCTTGCGGTATGATTCACACCCATTTCAGTGGCCAAGTCTGCAGTGGGGTATCGCTGCACGTCTCTGAAAGCGAGAGACTGGTGCTGAGCTGCCTGTGCCTATTTTGGGGCCTGCCACTTAGGCTAATGCACTTTCTGCCCTTCCGCAAGGGGCGGTGGGCCTGGCTGGAGTGCCTCGCTAAGGGAGGTAGCTGCAGCGTGACATAGCAGTGGAGGCAAGCCAAATGTTTGCATCCAGTTCCAAGCTGGGTGTGACAAGAGGTCAAAAGTTTGTATCAACTCTTAATGCTATCCGGTGCAGTCGTTCTCTGTGTTTTGGAAGGAGGCATTGGTGACATCAGTCTGGGAAGCCCATCTGTTTCGAAAAACTTAGCTTCAGAAGGAGTTTATGTAATGTACATACATGGGAAACTGCCTCCATACCAGTGGGTGCCATATCTGTCAGCATAAGCAGATATATTTGGATAAAAATATCTTTCACACAAAATAACAAGAACCTTCCTTCCTAACTCATTTCCTTCATAAGTGATAATGGAGTTCTTTTTAGTGACTTCCTTACACAAATTCTGCACACAGTTTGATTCTTAAAGGAGTGCTTTTAATATTTTCGAACTTGTGCTGATATTTTTAGCGGTGACCATTTCTGCCAGTTTGGTCGTACAGATGCAGACCCCAGTAACTTAATTTCTAGAAGCTGTTTGCTGTCTGTAAGAATTGCTATTAGGTTGTAGAGTTTGCTGCCTGTACATGGAAGCAAATGAAAATACAGATCTGTTTCTAAAACACTCATTCATTACTTACAGTAAAAATAAATGTCATAAATATTGCAAAAGATATATTTAACTGTTACTTTTATTGCCTGGCTGTATATCAGGCAGTTCCTTTCAGCTGTTTTAATTTAGTTAAGACTTGTATTTACAAATGTGCCTCATGATGGATTGTAGGTAACTCCAAGTTGTCAACCTTTTCCTCCTGTTGTGCGTGCTGGGAACTACTGTCCTAGAGGGAATGCATGAGCATAAATTTTAGGGTGATGTTCTCATGGAGTTCAATATGGCAGTGTTTGGGGGGTTTGCAATGACTTCTTTTCCCATGAGCTGCACTTTAGTCCTGGATTTTTTTTCAATGTTTCATGAGCCTCCTGGTCATCTTCCTGAGCAAGACACCCGGCTTGAGAGGATGAGTGATTTTTGTCTGGGATGACCAGAGCAATGAAATGTGAAATCAAAGGATTGTGTCAAGGTGGCTGTCATACAAACAGTACAGGGAGTTCCACCATCTCTTCCCCTCCCTTTTACAGTCCTCACTTCAGATCCGTTTGCTAGTATGAAGCTGTATGTAAGCATACTCATTGCCTGTAGGTTGATTTGTCAGATGATGATTCTGGCATAAGCCACCATATCCACAAAATAATGCATGAAAGAGGACAGTTGAAGTAAGAAAAATCCTCTCTAGATATGTCATCCAAAGATTTCTTAGGTTGAAATAAAGAAAGTGAATCTTAAATTCCTAAGTACATATCTCTCTGTCAGAATGCTGTACAAGGAACCAAAAGTTAAAGATACAAAAAAAAGCTGGCCAGATATTAGAAAACGAAACAAAAAACCCTAGCCTTTTTTGTTAGAAAATAGCAATTCAGCGGGAAAAAATCTGTTTTCAGTTATGATCTGTTCTAAGCCTTTGAAAAGGCTTCCAAATATTGTGTTTGTTTTTTTAATTAAAAAGATGTTTTTAGATAACTTCTTTGAGAAAATATTTTATTTCACAATTGAAGCAAAACTTCTGAAACACTGCCTAACTTAGTCTGACAGTGAGACAGTTGCAATGTTTTCAAAATACTGCGGAGTTACATTTAGAACGTGAAATTTCTGGACTCTTCAGCTTTTTGATGAGAAAGTCATGTGATGTCCAGTTCTAATTATGTAATTACAAACTACATATTTAATGATAACAATTTCAGTGTGTCACACAGCATGCTAGTGCTGCTTTGACTGTAAAAGCTTTCTGGCAAGTTTTAATTCTGTGCAGTTGTCTTTGATGCTTCTACTGTTGTTCTTTTCCTGCACCTTCCAAATGGAAAAGCTTAAGTCTTCATTTGTTTTATATCTGGTAATAGCAGAGGTCTGTTTACTCCTGCATATGCTGTCATGGTCTTGGATTTGACACTGTTTTACCCCAGAAGATTTCAGTCTGATGTTAAAAAAGACTGGACTGAATATCAAACTACAGACCAGTTACAAACTGGAATGGGATAGTTTTTTCCTGGTGTGAAGGAAAACTCTGTGTATGGCCATCAGCACATAAAGATGTTCCTGACCAACCCTGCAGAAGTTTTTTCAGAACAGGAGAAGCATCTTCCAATGTATCTGAACAAGCACCCAATTTGTATCAAAACTTAAATGCAGATATCTTCTAAAAGACGAAAGAACAAGCGCTGCATATATCATACTTTCCTTTATTGTGTCCCTGTTGTCATTAGAATAATCTCATGCTATTAAAGAATAAACTAAGAAGCTTACCCTGTATAAACCAAATTGAGCTCTTGTCTTTCTTCAGTTACGTT